AAATTATTAATTTTGTTAGCTTTAGGCAAGATACACATACATCAAACATACTGTCTTAAAATTATTAGATTAATAATTTCTGGATATTCCGCGATATGATTGTCAAAAAATAACGTTGTCAAGAAATATCATAGTAATGACTTTTCTTTAATATTTTTTGCATCCCGTGCGTATCAGTTTCAGCTATAGCGCACGCTATCGCTTACTATATGCAAAATGAAAGGCGGCTTTAATTGCTATCGTTGTCACGCCAAAAGCGCTAATATACGTCAACGTTTTCGTCGTAGACATTATCATTTCGCTTTTGTCGTAGCTGTAATATCTTTGTCATCGTTACTTTGCCGCCGTCACTAGAGGTGTGCTGCGAAATTGTACAAAGTGTGCAAGGAAGAGAGAGTGTACTCTCCGTTCAAGGAAGAAGAGGGAGGTTGGCAAAAAGAGAGAAGGGGGAGGGAGAAAGAGAGAGAGCAATACGACTAGAGAGAGGGAAAATGAAAGAGAGCAAGTGAGTAAGAGAGAGAGAGAGAGAGAGAGAGAGAGAGAGAGAGAGAGAGAGAAAGAGAGAATGACAGTAGGCTTGTTCGCCACACCAGTCAGTGTTTCCCGAACTGCTGTCAGTGACAGTTCCCCGATCATGCGGCGGCGGATCCTCGATCATTGATTTGTATCAATAATCGAGATCCCTCTTTTTTTTTCTCTTTCTCTTTCCGATCTGCCGGCAATTCTATCGCGTTGTTGAGTTTACTCTCCGTTTGTACTGTTTTTTCATTAATAAGACGCTGCCCGGAGGATCTTTCGTCGGTTCTCTGCTCTCGCACGGTGCTACGAGTCACGGACCGTTGTTGTTGTTGTTGTTTTGAGTAATTGGAGCAATCATGGTGAGTACAGTTTTGTTTCTATTTTTATGGCGTAACTTTTACATAATGTAACTAAAAAACAAAGTGAGTTAAGAAGTGGAAAATTATTATTGTTCCATACTTTCTTTACAATGTCCGTCGACAAAAAATTTATTAAATTTAACACGATTATTTAAATGATCATGTAATTAAATTGATCATGTCAATTTAATCAATTTTTTTGTCGATTAGAGACAGTAATTTTCTAAACCAATCCTATTTACATCAATTTGCGCACATTAGGTAAGACAGTTTCTTGGCTGGCAATTTATCTCGATCGCCTAGATCTGTCAGGAATCTTCGACGGAGAAAGAGAGAGAGATCGTCCGAACGATTTGCTCCAATTTCGCGATATACCGCGTTCAGTATAGAGAGACCGTCGAAATCGTTTTACCGCGCAACGAAGAGATATTCGCGATCGGATATCCCGTGTCTGACGTGTTTTTCCTTTCCACGCAGCTCCGTTTTCGAGCCGTCTGATCTTGCACGACGGAGTTATTACATCACGCGTGGATTTATGCGAGACCACCATGGAACCGGTCCCGAAAAAAGTTCGTTACGCGAGTGTAGAATTAAGACGGCCGCTTGAAATCGCGATCGCTGGCCTGTGTCATTTATTAGGGCGCCGCGCCAATTTGATAGATCAATTTGTGCATTTGTCACATATTTAAATATACACTTTAAATCTTTGACTATATAAGTATTTATATAGTCAAAGCTTTAAATCATCGATAATATTTTCGCCGACGAATCTAATTGACGAATTTCAAATCGGTAAACGTTTGTGACGGTGAATACGCACTGTTGAGCTAACAAACTCGCTACAAATAAAATAGTCGATAAAATTGTTGATGCTTGCAATATCTCCATTGTTTAAGTAAATTTCTAACGTTTTATAATTATAATTGTCTTCATAATACAATTCGAAAGAAATTATTTTGCTATTGTATAAGAAAAATATCTTTATTAAAATTTACCTGCACGTCTGCATATTTTTTATAGTATAGTAAATTAAAGCATACGCCAATTTTTTTTGCTTATTTATCAAGCAATTTATTAGTATTCTTGTAAAGGTTACAACTTTAGATATGTTATAACAAGGCTAACAAAGTTATTTTTATCTGATAATAATAATTAATTAATTAATGTGAGTTAGCGTAAGAATTTGTAAAAATAATAATAAAAAAATAAAATTGTTGAGAATGCTTTGTTGGGCATTGGTGCCTAAGTGAAAATTATCATTATATAATTACAAATAGCTTCATATTATGTTGATAAATATCGCTATTTAAATTCTTAAGCGAATCGCGTCATTCGCGTAAAAATCTATCCACTTGAACCATAGTATCGACATATCGGATACAGCAATGATTCTGCGACAGGTATCTACGCGTCCGCATTGCACACATACACACACATACCGTCGGGACTTTCGGTGGAGATCTGAGAGAACTTGTTCTGTCCTTCCGGGTTATACCTGCGAGTCCTCTCACTTTCGTCGTGCGACGACCTCGTCGGTGTAATTTTTTGTTGTTGGTGTAACGATATAAATCCTTGCCATACGGCGGCATCGAAATCACCGAGTGAACGCGTGACGCGCGTAGGCGGACCTCTTCGCTATGGATATACGCGAACGGATGCATAAAAAATGGATGTACATCTTATCGCGATCGTTTCGTTACTTTTACGTGTCGTTACGTTAAACAGGATGCACCTGTTCGCGCGCTGCAAAAGCGCAAATCTGCGAAGGTTGTTATTGAATCGTTCAGAGAACATCTTTTCGCTTTTCACTTTTTCCACTTTGTTTTCCATTTCAAGTGACATCATACAATTATAATAGATTCCTTCCCTTGCTTCGAGCCCAATTAAACGACTTATGACTTACGTGATTATGTCATACCTTTGTTTTTTTTATAATATTAACATATAATGCTTCGTACAATATTTTATTTGACAATTATAACTTTAAAACGTCGCGTCGCCTCGCAACCATTATACGGAGTTAGAGATCTGTCATACACGTTGCAACTTTCTATCTCATCCTGCCACGCCCTGAGATATCGAGTTAAACATCATAAAAGTAGGTGCTAACGTTAAATAAAACTGCTGCAGCAACTTTGTTTCTTTCAGAAATATATATTAACGTTTTATTCACAAAATAGCGAAAAATAACCATCGAATATTTGTCAAGGCTCGCGCGCGTTTCGTTTATTTATTCTTAATACGAGAGGGATATAACTTCAGTCAAACGATTTGAAATTCTCTGGTACCTTCGTCGCGATCACGGGATGCAATGGATCACGCTGAATTATTAATGAGCGTCGTTAATCGTGATCAACCGGTATAACGGTAAGGAAAGAACAAGGAACGGATCCACTTTTTTTTTCTGTTACATCTACAGGTGAAATTTCCGAGAATCGAGTTTTACAACATTTTGCCGTCGCAACACTTTGACATTCATACCTCCGTTATTACGGCGACGTCCCGATTATTCCGAAATCGTTTCGAACGTGTTTTGATGTATGCGAGCTACAGGTAGATTTCTTAGTGGAAAGATAAAGCTCTATAAAGCTTTTACAAGATAGTCGCGATAACATTAGTATCAATCTTCTTGTTAGGCGCAACACTCACGTTTTCTATTTGTCTCGAACACGATTCTATAAGTATAACATTTGCGTACTTGTGTTTATCGAACGTTGAACTGATTCTTAAAAACGCGACATAATGCTGTTCACCTCGCAGCAAGCACAATCTCAAAGGTATAAGCGGGACGTTTGTTACGCGCTGCAGGCACTTCGTGGTATCTAGGTATGCAGATTCGAGAGATATGGGATTCGGCGAAATCTCTCGAGAAAATTATCCCGCCGCGTTAAGAGCCGAGAATGCGAGAAATTTGTGTGCGCGGAATCGCCGGCGGTATAAAATATAATTTAATCGCACGGGGCGGGGGGGGGGGCAAAGAACCGGGCGACACACACGTTTCGCACTGTTAGCGACTCGGCGCGAGTGAACGTACGCACAGGTAGGTACCTCGGGGTGGGCTTCGATAGAAATTCGACCGGATTCCACCGGCTTTCTATCGCGATTCTTTTCCGCGAGGTTACGCGACGGCGTACGTCGCATCATGCGCCATTATTTATCTCAAATTTTACCGATGTCAGACTGTGCGACCAAAACAGGTGCTCAAAACATTAGAACGGAAAAGTAACGACACGTAATTAATGTGTGAGATAATTCTTTAGTTATTTGTGTGGAAGAAAAGCGCCTAACAATGTGCAATTGACATCTAAATAATTTCGAGAATTGTCGCAGATGATGATGATGATGATAAAGATAAACTCAACGTTTTAATCGTTTGTTAAAGAAAAAATATTTTCTACATCTCTATTAATACTTAAAAATCTCATTATCTGATGTTATTAAAATAAGAGTCACTCTTGCAAAACTATGCAATGGCGAATATTTTTAATTATTCCCTCAGTAGATAAAGTCTATGCTGCTAACACGCGTGCACGTTTGAAATCTTTTCCACCGGAAGTGAGGTGAGAGGACAGGCGTAGACATTGTCTCGAGAATATAAAGCTGCATTGAAGAAGGAATGTTAGCGCGAGGACGTGAAAAAAAGGAAGCATATCCAGGCCACCCACGGTAGTATACGACTTATCGTGTTTTTCGCATGGGAAACCGGTGAAAATTTCATAAGCGCGAGCGCACATAACATACAAAATCTGCTGGAAGTGAAAGGATGCGTGGAACCGAACAGATTATTGGAAGAGCGAAGAAAAAAAATTCTAGAAAGAATTATAAACCATAAAAACAAGAGAACTCGAAGAAGAGAGAAACTTTTAGAAAATTGAAACGCGTATTATTTGTGGAAAGAAATATTTATGCAAAGAAAATATTTTCTCTAAAATTACCACAACGGGAGCTAAGAATTTTATTAATTGATTTAAATTTATAATCGAGAATGATTCGTCATTAAATATAAAATACGAGAAATGACAGTTTTAATGCAAGATAAAAGATTTAACGTCCACTCGCGCTGGAATTATGAAAATGAGAGGCCTTCGTGATAATAACGGAATTACAATGACAAGTGGAACAATAATATCTACGATGAGAGAAAAGGTATAAAACGGCGTGGAAACGGCGGTTCAATTACGTAGCTCACAACGTTCAACTCTGCTGCTTTCCAACGTAACCTACATACGCTTGTATCTCTGCCTAAAGAAAATGAAACCTTTTTAATTCTTATTAACATACGTGAATAAAGTGCTCAAGAAGAAAATCAATGCGGACTAATTAATCAAAAAACATCGTGCAATTTATTTTATCAATATTAAACGCAATACTAAAAATCAAATTAAACAGCAAAATATGCAGATATTATTTTATATCTAACTATCAGACGTGTTTGAAAAATGATGAAATAAAATTAGAATTATTGAGCGGCAAATTAAAAACACTAAAGAACTATTACAAATAGTTAACGCATATAATTATATGCAATTGAAAATTTAATTTCGTTAATAGCAAGTCATTGCGCTTCTCGTGATAGATTGACGTCGAGGAGGAAAAGAGATAGGAAGTCAGTATAAGCTGTCCTCCACAAATCAGCAATATGTCCCGTAGCAGGAAACCAGTGGAAGTTTCATAAGCGCACGACAACCGCGCGCGGATCACCGAAAGCCCCTCCGGCGGAAGTCAGGTGAAAACGGTTTGCGAACGTGCGTAGCCTGGAAACGAATCGATACGCACGCATCGAGACGAGACGTGCGTATAGTGACGGGCTGACGCCGACACCGCGCCGCGTCGCGCCGGTTTGAAATTTTAAAACAAATCGGTTCCGCTCTCAAACTAGCTATAATTAGTGATAAAGAATAACGGCAAAGTAGTTCCATAAGTCGGAAGTACTTGGCGCGCTCGCATTTTTATATTCGGTCTACAATGTGTGAGGTCTATATCGCCTTATAATTAGCCGA